TGAAATCAATCTCTAAATAAAACTACCAAACGCATTTTTAGAAATAATTCAAAAATAAAATTAAAAACGTTTTCATTTTCATTTTCGTACAGAAAATAAAAACGTTTTGGAACCAATTCCAAACGCACCCATAATATCTTATTTTCCTAAAATCATCTATATATATATATATATCTATAATAATATTTTTAAACTATAAAAAGAAAAAAACACAAGTCCAAAATAGTATCTATTGTTCGTTTTCCTTCAAGTTGAGAACTGACGTAATAAAAAGTTTTGAGTTGTGATTAGAATTATGAAACGAAACGTATAAATATCAATTATCAACACACATACTCGCACATATATATGAGATTATCAGTACTCACTTGGGCATTCAGCGAGGGTGGCGTTCTTCAAGGCACATGCAGTGGGCAAAGAAAGGAGCTTGGATTCCTGGATGCCCATGTTCTTGATCTGGTCGTTTCCTTTATGGGTTTGTTGCATGATAAGGCAAAGGCACTCCGGCTCGCTTTCCTTTATCCCCTTCACCAAATCACAGCAGTCCTTCGTCGGCACCGCCGCCTTCCCCGTCGCGTACGTCAGACACACCGCCAGCTTCTGGAAGTCCGCCCCACACTTCTCCTGCGTCGACGCCGCCGCCGCCGCCACCTCATGACTCCCCAAAAACACCACCACCAGCAACGCCGCCGCCACCACCACCACCAACATCTTCATCTTCCTTGTTTTCTTTTTTTTTTTTTAATGATTTTTGGTGTACACAAAGGAAATGATAGTTAGAGTTTGGTTTGATATAATATAGATGTGTAGGTGTGAAGAAGGCCGATGAGAAGAAGTATTAATGGGGAGTGGGCCCGTGTGGGGGAGGTTTTGGCATCTGGGCTGTCCACGTAAGCAGTTTGTTTGTAAGTGGACGGTTGAGATGGGGTGGAGGGTCGGTCCAAGTTTAATGTGTGTCTGTACTTCTGTTGATATTAACTCTGAAAGGTTTTGAATGAGGACGGCTGATGGGAGTAGTTAGGCCGCATTTAAGCGTTATTTTAGGAATAACCAAAATTTCATTAATGAGGACTTCAGATTCCCCCACAAGCTGTTTCTTATTTCAGCTGAAAAATAATTTTTAGATTTTTTAAGAATCCGGTTTTATGTGTTTATCAAACACATTTTTTAACTTCAGTTAAAAAAAAAAAAAAAAAAGGTGATTTTAGCTTTTTAAAATATCTACCAAACTAAGCTTAAGTAGAAAAACATGACTGTAGGAGTAGAAGTAGTGAGAACGTTTAGATTATAGATTTAAATTATGATTTAAAATTATTTTTAATTTATATATATTTTTTATAAAAAAAATATTATAATAAATTATAAATTATAATTTAAATTATGATATAAATTTTTGAATCAATTGCACGCTAAGAGTCGTGGAACTAGAAACAGATTGCCAAGAACTTCCATATTTTTGCTTTAAATGACGCTGAGCTGTATTTCTCACACGTAACCTTTTGATAAGCCATGTGTTGCGAGGCTGTGACACATTTTAAGAAAAAAGAAACTTCGAGTTTTAAAATGATTAATTTAAGAGACGTTTAGTTCATGAATTAAAATAATGCGATTAAAATTATTTTTAATTTATGTGTATTTTTTATGAGAGAAAATATTATAACGAATCATGAACTATAATTTAAATTATGATTTGAATTCTCAAACCAAACGTTTTCACGAACAGATTTACTTTTTAAGAATTTCTCTATAAGTCTTAAAAAATAATATTATCAATAATTTTTTATTTTTAATTATTGATTTATCAAAGAAACTTCTTTATTTTTTTATGACGACATTTGTTTTTAAAAAAAGAAAATTTTTATTCAACTCAAAATAAAAGTTACGTACACTAATATTAACGCGAATAACTCTAAAATATAAAAAGACTTGCTCCGAATAAAGATTGGATCCAACAATAATTTCAAATGAAAATGCTCATAAGAGCGAAATGTGCACACAAACGGGAAACCAAAAGGCACACTAAATTTTGAGCACACACGGATGGTTCTTTCAATAAAAAACCTCACCAATTGATAGAAACTTTTAATCAATCAAAGATTAAAGACTCAAGTAATCCTTGAGTTGTGTATGTGAGAGAAACCCATTATAATCAAAAAGTTAAATTTAAATTTTTATAAGAAAAAATATTTTAATAATAAAACTTGAGTTGTTAAAAGAACTACACCTAAAAAATTTGTAACACAAAAGTCACATATAATCCCACAAAGAAACAAATCTAACAAGCAAAAAAAAAAAAATACCAACCTCTAAAACTAGGAAGGCCACCTTCATTTTTATTATAATATTTTTTTACTTATGAGTAGGCTAATATGTAAAGATTCAAACATTTTGTGCTTTTAACGTATAACATCAAATCATATAAATTGTCCTAAACGAAAATAGAAGTAGTACTTGACAGAACATGCGTTTACAAGGCGGTGCATTAATGTTGGGAAAATGATAAGGAGCGGTAGTGTATCTTCCAACTAACAAACCCTTTCTTTGTCCAGTCATATCACTATATAACATTGATCTAACATTAGCAAAGGAAAAATGAAAAAATGCGACATTAATACCCACACGTTGTCTGTCACATAATAAAATGTACTAAATGAAAAATTAGTGATTTTGATAGAAGGAGGGTGTCAGAGTGACCAATATTGGATGACTTATTATGGAATGGCCAATAAATTAGACAAATGGACGCAATTGGGAAGTGATGGCGAGAGGGGCCTATTTAGTTCGTTGATTTGAATTTTTAATTCGAGTTGAGATGTGATTTTATGTGAGAGTTTTTTACTGTAGTAAAAAAGTTAAATGTGATTGTTTGTGAGAGCTTTTTACTGTAGCAGAACTCGAATTTTAAACTCAAATCAGCGAAATAAACGGAGCACTAATTAGTCATGGGATGGGGATACGGGCAACATTTGCAAATATAGGACCTACTTGACTAGCAAAAAATCTAGGACCTACTTTTGGCTGCCATAATGTTAGGATGATATTAGGATGCAATTAATTCCATAGTTTTTTTTTTTTAAAGAAAAAAGAAAACAAAAAATAGTAATAAAACTTGGAACTGCTCTCATCTATCCGCCCGTAGAGAAATAGAAAAGGAGACAAATAAAAGTAGATCGGTCTGAATTTTTACTTCTTTATATTTTATTAATAGAGAGTAATAAATAAGAGAGTAAACTGTATATATGATCTTTAAACTCTTTAAAAAGTAACAGTTTGATTTTTTTTTTTTTTTTACAAAACGAACCTCAAATTTTTTAAAAGGGTGCAATGTAGTCTCTACTATTTTTTTTTTTTTTTTGACAAAACGAACCTCAAATTTTTTAAAAGGGTGCAATGTAGTCTCTACGGTCTATTACCGTCGAAAATATAACAACACAGTGCATATGATCTATCACGTGACCCATCTTTTGACTGAAAAGATGAAAATGTCCCTAACTACTGTTATCTTATCTAAATATTCTCTCTCAATCTCTCTCTCCAAATACCCAGAAAGTCAAACCATTTTCAGGACTTCAATAGAAAACCTCATAAGTTCAAAATTCAATCTTAAGCAAACCCCAGATTCTTTTTTTTTTTCTCAAAAAACGCTCAAAGAACGTAACGCATCAAATAAATGCCACAAATCACTGAATTCATGAAGCAGACGACTTACCCTTTTCTTTGTTCAAAATAAAAATTAGATAGCTATGTTCTCGGGTAAGTGCACTAACTCTTGGGCCCATTACAAATTACCCAGGAAATATATGGGCAACAATCATCATTTTCCGTTGGGTTGGGTAACATGCTTAGACTACAACTTTGGGCTTTAGGGGAGACTAGAGCCGGTTGGGCCAATTTTAATGGGCTTAAAGAGCTTTTTCTAGCCTGAAATAGTAGAAAATATGCCGATATGAAAAACTTAAAAAAGTATATATGCTAACTTTTAGTTATAAAAATTAATAGGTCATAATTTATCAAGTTATAGTTCATAATCAGATAAGTTATGGACAAACTTGTCAAGTTATGGTTCATAGCAAGATAAGTTATGGACAAAAACCGTGATTTATGGACAATAACTTGTCAAGTTATGATTAATGACCAGATAAGTTATAGACGAAAACAATAATTTGGCCTATTTATTAACTTATGTAAACTATTGGCCTATTAATTTTAATTCATCTCAAGTCTTGGCCTATTTTTCTCTTTCTCACTTTTCCAGCACCAAGATTTCTCAGATAAAAAGTTATAATAATCTGGGCCGCATGCATAGGTCTGAAAGTGAGAGCCAAGCCCAAAAAAGTGCATGATGGCTGCAGATCTAAAAACACAAGTATTCGTGGAGAAAATCAAGAAATGTGTCCTCTTAGCTCACCTTTTTAATTTTATGTCATTTATCTTAGAATTCTCCTCCTCTTATAGTGTTGAAGAAAGGGCATGAAATTCACCCTTTTCCACTAGACTGACATTCCTCCTCCACTTTTCCTAAATAATCAAGTGAGAAGTAGAAAAAATTCCCTTTGAATGCTCTTTAGATTTATACTCGTCCTTTTTTTTTTTTTTTTTTTGGTTCTTTTAAAATCTAACAACAAGGACACAATTCTAAAGACAAAATAGGAGAGCACAACACTAAAAAGGAAAACGAAGTGAAGTATATTCCTTAAATTCCTCTACCTCTTCATTTGGAAATCAAAATCTATTTCTTTAATCACACACCAAATCATGTTATAAAACAAAAGGTTTATGCACACCAAACATGTCAAAGAAAAATACAAGGAAGAGAAAATATCCAAGAAAAAAAGAAAGCCTTATCCATCTAGTAAGTTTGTCTTAATTTGATCGATGAATTAAGACATGCATGTACGGTCAATCTGGTGAACATACGTAAAATACAATTAAACATGCACGTTACTTTCTCCAACTCCGTTTCATCTTTTTGTTGGTTTTCTCCGATGTGTAATGCATATTTCAAGGCTTTTGTAATGCATAATTAGTTGCTGAGATTCTCAACTTTTCTTTTTTTCTTTTTGTCAAGTCACTAGACGCATGTCCTCGCTCTTTTTGTAGAGTGTATATGTGGCAAACTGTGAATTTGAATCATTGGGGGGTGATGTTCAGAGTCAAATATAATAATATCAGGGATGTTGATTTGGTAGGGAGCACATTATATATTTCAATATTTTTGCTGGCAAATGGGATGGAATACCACGTGGACTTAGAATCATGTCTTGAGAACTCAATCCTTCTGAAAAATACATGCTAGGGCCTATTCTTTAAACAAAAAAAACGTAAATTGAGCTGTAAATTAAAAAGATATATTAGAGTGTAATTCTATAGCACGTTTATTTCACTGATTCGAGTTTTATTACAGTAAAAAACTCTAAAAAACAGTCATATTTAACTTTTTTATTACAGTAAAAAAATATTCACATAAAGTCACGTCTCAACTCGAATTAACGAATTAAACAGACTAATATCAGGGATGTTGATTTGGTAGGGAGCACATTATATATTTCAATATTTTTGCTGGCAAATGGGATGGAATACCACGTGGACTTAGAATCATGTCTTGAGAACTCAATCCTTCTGAAAAATACATGCTAGGGCCTATTCTTTTAAAAAAAACGTAAATTGAGCTGTAAATTAAAAAGATATATTATAGTGTAATTTTATAGCACGTTTATTTCACTGATTCGAGTTTTGTTACAGTAAAAAGTTTTAAAAAAC